CCCGAAACCCTGAACCCCTAAACCTTAAACTCTAAAACCTAAATATCAACCCGAAACCCCCAAACTTTGCTACGTAACGGAGCGACTAACCCTTAAACCAGATATACCCCGCTCGAAAAAAGACATATCCGAGCATGGTCACAGAGTACTGGACGCCCAAAAGCTGGTCTTTCCTGAAAGTCAAAGCCCTGCTGCCTTCTTCGCACCCACGAGCTGGTAATCCACAGAAGGGCATTTGATGGCCAAGGACCTAGGGTTTTGGTCTAAGGCAATCAGAGGTGGGGAGTTGAGATGTAGGGACCTCACATAAGCCTTACGTACCCAATATGTCACTTCCCATTGTCCCTGTATACTCTCCTCCTGCAAGTGGTCCTAATTTCGGGTCAACACTAAACCTAAAACCTGAACCCTAAGCCCTCAAGCCCAGGTAAATATAGATCAGATAGGGCAAAACAAAAGGAACAACCTGCACAAAATTCGGTCAAAACTCCCGACCTGAACAGGTCCCATGATGTACCCAATAAAAACGCTACGAATCCAAATAAGGCCCCATAATTAAGCTCCAGAAAACCGGTAGGGCCCATATTAAGGTCCCTGAAATATTAGGGAAGGGAATTCATTGCTAAGGACCTAAGCTCAAACGGGGAGAAAGCTGCAGGTTTGCAGCTTTGGGGCTCCGGTTGCCTGTGAAAAAAGATTCAGGATTTAAGGTTTCAGGTTTAGGGTTTGATGTTGCAGGCTTAGTGTTTAAGGTTTAGCGGGGTTCAAGGGGTCTAGGGCTTAGAGTTGCAGGTTTAGGTCTGATGTTAAGGGCTCTGCTTTTGGATTTGGGGCCATTGTTCTGCTTTACCCATCCATGCGAGCGACGCTCGCCAGCTAAGTTTGTTACCGCCTGCACTGGCGGGAATGCGGAACATATGAGTTTCGGTAAAATACGGGGCCCTAGGGAACCCACGGATACACAGAAATTTTAAGTGGTGTATTGGGTCCCCCAAAGAAAGATCGTATAGGAATAGCTCAAAATTTCATACTCCGATCAAGCAGGGTGGTGGCCTACTGCTGGCCCACAGGAGCCTCATGATCAGGCAATACAGTTGCTAACAGCGCAACTTGAAGTACCTGTCGATTTATGTGAGCTACAATCAATATTTCCCATACAGTTGAATGGACATGGGATCCGTATTAGGGACTGTATTAGGGAATGTGCTAAACTAGCAAGAAAGACCCCCATGTCCACCCTTGATGGTACTTCGGTAAGCCTAACATTAACGGCATGCGGTTGCTGGTTGAAATCTTGCACCACCTTCCAGCCCCTAAGTCCGGGAAATACAGCCCCTTGAGGTAGCCTAAGTAATACAGGGTTTCCTCCATCAGCAGTATGCAGGGCTTCCGCTACCTTGTCCATGAACCTTGTCCATGAGAGACCAGCTGAGATCTCACGGGAACCTTTCAAAACTCTATGGCTGCAACACCCTTCACCCCTGAATCCTAGATCCCTAAGCTAGACACCCACCAAAACATGCAAACCCGCAACCCTGAACCCTAAGTCCTCAACCCTGAGCCCTACATCCTCAACTCTGAGCCCTAAATCCTGAACCCTACATCCTCAACCTTGAGCTTTAAATCCCCAACCCAAACCCCTAAGATCCTCAACCCTCAACCCTACATCCTCAACCGTCAATAAGCCCCCATTCCCTAAAAACATAACTCACCCTTGGGTCAAGGGGCTGCTCCATGACCTTCCTTGCACGCCACTCTGCCTGCAAGCTCGGAGCGGGAAGAAGGTTTAGGGAATTAGGGTTTAGGAGTTAGGGTTTAGGATTTAGGGTTTAGGGATTTAGGGTTTAGGGTGTATGATAGAGGGGTTATGTAGGGATCATATCTCCTTATTCCCTACTAACCACCAGTTAGTTACCCTCCCCAAAGGCTAACATGGAACCTTGTGTGGGAGTTTCCGAAAATCAAAGGTTTCCGAAAATCAAAGGGCCCCTTTTTTCGTGTACCTATAGACCGGAGTATGTAGCATGCTGAGGTACATATGGGTATGATGGAAACTACCACGTAATCCTTCCTTCAACATGACTGTAGACGGGGGTTCCCTGTTTGGGTGTTTGGCCCAGTGCCTGCCTCCAGGATCGAGGGACAACATAGGAGGCTTGGAAAACCGGCTAAATGCATCAAGCTAATCTTGTCCCTTAGCCAATGAACCCACCTGGGGGTGAAGGACTCAATGTCTGCGGTGTGAACTTTGCAGATCCGGGCTTCAGATCGATACCGCAACTTGAGATACTCCATGATATGGGTGTCTAAGGACCCTGAAGATATGCTTGGGTCCCCTCTCAGGGCGATGTAGCGACATAATTGAGACGGATTCAAATCACGCTTATCTGGATTTATCCAACGACCCAAACAGCCCCAACCCCAAGTTCCCAATGATAAAATGTAAAGCCACTGGATGTTGTAAGGAACTTAAAGTAAGTTCCTATCGTAAGGAAACCCCGTTATTTACTATTTACTCATAC